TTGGCGTTAGGTATGGTTGTGAACCACAGTGTGGGCGCAGGGAACTGAATCCAGGAACTCTGCAAGAGGATCAAGTGCTCTTAACCCCTGAACCATCTCTCACCTATGAGTATTATACTTCAATAGAGATATTTTTAAAGTCTTAGTATCATTGATCATGGTAATGCCATTTCAACAGGGCAACAAAATGCACCTACAAATATCTTGTTAAATGTGGAGGAATACAGTCTATTTCTCCTTGGAGGCCTTTATAGACATACAGAGCTTACACAGGAGCAAGGGCACCACTTCTGACCAGACAACAAACATAAGCAAACTCCTGGGGTCTCACATAGAGAGGTGCCCATATCAAGAGACAGGAAAATGAAATGGCTGGAGATGTAGCTCAGTGGTAGAACACAAGCATAGATGTGTGAGGCCAAAAAGACTCTCTGTGTGTGTGTGTGTGTGTGTGTGTGTGTGTGTGTGTGTGTGTGTGTGTTTACATCAAAGGAGAGGGATAGAATGGTTCAAAGCTTTAACCTTGATTTTTTTTTTTTGTTCTTTTATGACATAATTTTTACTTTATATGTGGACCTGAGGCCTCAGGTTCCCGGCACTGGACTTACAGGTTTTGAGCTGCCCATGCTCAGTTTTGGGACCTGATTATGAGTGCCCTGGAGAAGCTGAGCTCTTACCTGCTGAGCCATCACTCCCCAGCCTCAGCCTTAATAGTCTTACAGTCCAGAGACATTAATTCCATGTCAACTTGGCTGGCAGAAGCCATTTCCTTTAGACATTATGTGTCTGAGGGAGTGAGACTCACACTTGGATCTGATGTACTTTCCACTGTGGGCGGGCACCCACCTATCAGTCCACAGAAGGCCTGAACAGAGCTTAAGGGAAATAAATGGAAATGTGTTGTTTCCTGTCTGTCTCTGCAGCTGGCATATCGATGTTCTCTGCTGGTATTTACACCACTGGCTTCCCTGTTCTTAGGCCACTGGACTGATGTGAGAATCAGACTTCCAGCTTCCTAGTCTCTCTCCAGCACGCTATGGGAAAACTCCATGTCTTTTCAGATCTATACTTATTCAGGCCGATTCTTCACAATAAATGAAACAGATTAGATGGATAGATACCTGGCTCTCCATGCATTCCATAGCTATGGATTCAACCAACTATAGATTTAAAAAATAAATACATAGAAAAAGTTTCATCTACATTGAGCATGTATAGTCTTTTTCTTGCTATTATTCCCTAAAAAATGCAGCACTACAATTACTTATGTATGGTTTACATTGTGTTAGGCACCACAGACAAGCTACAGGTGGATGTACACAGAAGCATGCACATGGGTCATATATAAATGCTGTATCATCTTACATAGAGGAAATGAACAACCACAGACTCTGGTACCCAAGGAAGGATACTGGCACCAATCACTTAGCAAGGATACCATCACATGATTACCAATACTTCCTGTCATATTTATATAAATAAAATATTACAGACAGAATACACACAACTTAGCTGCTGCTCTCTCTAGAAACTACACAAAGATCTATCACTGAAATTAAGTCAACAAGACTTTGAAATTTTTTTTCTCTAAAAAAAAACAGGTTTAATGAGAAATATCTATGTGTATATAAATATTCATAGTACTATAGATCATGATTGGGTATTACTGTGAAAAATCAACCCTGAATTTAGTTTATACTAAAAATGTGAAAAGAAATTTGGATAGGCATAAAACCACAAGCAAGCATATTGTTTGCTGAATAAGTTCAAACTTTCAAGATTATCCTGGTGTGAGCCCTCTACCTGGGCATTTGTTAGAAATGCAAACTATCCTGTCCCTTCTAGACCTACTCAAACAGAAATTGCAGGGCTAGAGCCAGCAATCTGTGGCTTACCAAGTACTCCTGGTGAGAATTAAAACACAGAGGAGTGTTGAAAAATAAATAAAAATTTAAAAATGTATCAAAGTGGGTCTGAGTCAGTTGTTTTAAAAATAACAACAAAAAGTTCTCATACTATTCTGAGAGCCCTCAAGCAGCCCAGTTACAAAACTTAGGAAAGATCTCATCAGATGGAAGGAAGTGACAGGCAGAGAATCAAGACGGGATAGTGACGCATGGCTGATGACTTGACAGGATAGTAACACATGGCTGAAGATGTGAAGGGGTGGTGACATATGGCTGCTGTGGGATGGACAAGCAGGCACAGGCCCGAGAGGCCCAGTTCAGAACAGAAAAGCCAGCCACAGGAGTATCTGGCTGGAGAAGAATGCCATGCTAGTTTAGGGGAATGGGGCAAAATAAGGTAATAAGGTATGTAGGGGCAGAGCTGAGAGGTAACTCATGACAGGGTGGGAGTAGGTCTGGATGGGACCCAAGGCTAGAAAAGCAAGGTGGCTAGCATGGCCACCAAACACTGGCAGGGGCAGCTAGCAGCAAGACCACTAGCAAGAGAGGCCATAACCTAAGTCTCAGAACCTGCAGCCAAAACTGGGAAAGGGCTGCAGCAAACTACCCAAAGTACCTCAGAGGGGAAAGAGCTGGCATGACACTGAGCCACTTTAGATGCTTGCTCTATCCAGCTAGTAAGGTCTCTCTTTTTGTCTCATTGCAGCATGGGTCCCCTCTAATTGCAGAGGAACCAGAGACAACTAGTAGTAAAAGAGTAAGGCAGGATACTAACGAGTAACTGACCATTTCTGGCCCCGACTGACTACAGGCTTCTCAAGGCAATGCATATGTGAAGGTGAGGAAGAGTGGTAGGAAGGATGAGAGAGGGAGTTTTAAAGAAAAAAAAAAGGATTGGCATTAAAATAGACCAAATTCTTATTACCTGAAAAAGCAAACATAATTCAAAACATGATGGTCACCAGAGAAGCTATGGGTACAGAGAATGAGAAAATGTTTTGTCTTGTTTTGTTTTTAAGAAAACTATACTTAGCTCAAGACACAGCAGACCTTGTGGTTTACAGGCCTTTGAGATGTCTTTTGAAGGTCACTGGGTTGGGCAGGCAGGGGAAGCCTGAGTCTCTGTGAACTCAGGAAGCTGAGGCACAGAGCAGATGTGTAGCCTGGGCTAGGATGAGTGTGAATCCAGGCTGGGGTGGCAGATGACCTAGAGCTGGTCCTCTAGTTTAGCACTTCTGTACACAAGCAAACATCTGCCCATGCTGAGTTCAGGAACCGAGGTTTTCTGTTAATAGACATGTAGAGGATCCAGGAAAAACTGACCAACCAGGCCTCAGGAAGAGGGGAAAGTGATGAGAGGCCAGGGATCAAAGGAGGCTCTTGGAGTGGACATAACCCAGTGTTCGGCTCTTTAACATGGGGCTCCTTATTTAACAAGGTTGAGACATTCTGCCTGCTGCTTTATTCTGTGCTGTCCAAGCTTCTTTATTCTATGCGCCATTCCTTCTGCTCTGGGGGTTGCATATGGCTTCCTTTCTCCCTTAACCGTATTCTCACATTCACAGTTAAAGGTCTCATTTAAAAGAATCATTGACCCAAATCATTATTTGCTACCTATGGTAATGCCATAGGAGATGACTGCCTTTGGGTTCAGCCAGCTAGGGCTGGAAGCAGTGTGTACTGGAGGTAGAAGAGAACCAAGAATAGGATGGAGTGGAGGTAGGAAGACACCAGAAGGAAGAGCAGCAGATAGCTGCACCCAGTTGCTGTCATCTTACAGGGTCCCTGAAATTCCTGTTTTGAAAACATACACACCAAAGCAGCAGGCACCACTGTGGGGTAGGGGTGAGCTTCAGGGAAAACCCTCATGAGTAAACTAATGGTCAGCATACAAAGAACTCTGAGAGAAGCTTGGACTCTTCCTTTCTTTATTTGGTCTTTTTGTGGAGGGGCCAGCAATGCTGGGAGTTGAACCTAGGACCTTGTGCATGCTGGCCAAGCACTCTCCCACTGAGCCATAGACTCTGGCCAGTTTTAGCTCTTCTACCATGTTAAGATGCAGCAAGTGGGCCCTTTCTTGGGAGTCAGTGCCTTGATTTTGGATTTCCCATCTTCCAAAAGTAAAAAATAATAAACGTCTGTACTTTGTATAAATTCCTTAGCCTCAGGAATTCTGGCACATCAACACAGAACAAGCTAAGACAGATGGCTAGCACAGGTTAAGAACAGACTCCATGAGGCTCAGTAATAAGATTTTCCATCTAACTAGCTCTTGATATAGCCAAAAATTCACTGCACTGGGATGCAGTGTTCACTCAGGGAACACCCTTGTGCAAACCACTGTGGGCCCATGCTGGGACCTGAGGGCTTATAGATATTTTTTTGTTGCTAGAAACCAACAAGGTTTTTTTTTTTTTTTTTAAAGGTCTATTTTTCTAAGTGAAGGTAAAAAAAAGTTTTAAAGCAGTTGAGTAGCTAGATGACAGTATTTGAGAAATAAGAAAAATATGTTTCCTGGCTCTGGCCAGCTTTCCTTTTGAGATTCTTAAAGACAGAAAAGCATTAAGTACTCCTTTCACAGCCAAAATAAAATTTGACTATTAGCAGATTTAATCACGAGTAGTACATGATAAACCCTAGCGTATCTGAGATTTGCGTTTATCCATTCTAATAGACATGTGGTGTATTCTCTGTGGTATAGCCCCCAAAAAACAGCAAGCCGGGTTTTCGAGGCATGATTAAGAACAATAACGCAATTTCTCACAATGTAACCTCTGCTTAGTGGCACAGACCTCCCTGCTACCTTCTGACTCTCCCTTTCAAGGCTGATCTATCACCTGGGATCCGTTCTGCGGTGACCGCACTTCGTATACACCCATCACTTCCACACTGGACTGAGTGTAGAGAGTTCGGCATTGTTGTGTTCTCCTTTCATCAAGCTGCCCAAGGATTCCTTTTTTTATTATTGCTGTTATTTGGTTTTCCCAAATAAAGTAAACTGCTAAATAGCTACGTGGCTTACAGAAGTCGACGGGCAGGCATCAGTAGCCACAAAGGGGCAGTGAAGGCAGGTTAAAAATAAAACACTAGAAGTCCTTTCATGTTAGCATTTTATTTAAACCAGTACAAGCACCATGCTTACCAAAAGACTCCAAAATAAACATGCGGTATGAACTAGCAGAGACTGAAACCACAGCTTAAGAAGTAGTGCCAGTTGTTGGTTTTCTTAAACAATGACAGAGAACTGTTAGAATTCACAAGACTAAACCACCAACGTTTCAAGCCCATTGAATGAGATTATATTGGACCATCAAAATCAGTGGACTTGTCCTGGCATGTTAGTGATCTCAAGGGGTATTCAAGTAATAATATCCCAAAAAGCAAGAAACTGTTTCTATCACAAGCGTAATATAATTGTTTTAACATTACAGGAGTATGATTCACTGATCTGAAGTGTCAGATGGCCTACCAAGAAACATTCAGCTTGGAACCATGAGCATGAGGAGGCCTAGGAGATGATTTACATTCTTCTAGAAATACAAAATAAGATTCATCCAGAAATGTTTGCAACATTTCTTCACATAAGTTGTAAAGGCTCAAACTTTATGGATTCCAGTATTATCAGTCTACAGAACAAATACGGAGTGCTACCATATTAACACTCAATAGAACTGATAGGATATACATTACTTTCTACTTCCCAAATATTGGCATTTCAATTCTTATGAAAGTATCTACTCACTACTTCTCATACAGATTAATGTAGTCACTTGAGTTTTACAAGTGTCCAAACATTTCTTATGTGCAGTTTCTTTAGTTTCTAAGTGGGAAAAGAGCCAAGTTTAATTTGGCAATAAACTCCTCTAACTGGAAACCATTAGTGAAAGTGTCAGACCAGGATACAGTTTATGGCTAAGTTTGGCTCCTGAAAATAGGAGACAAAAAGGGAGGGAAAATGCTAACACACATTTTTGCTACAAATTATTTCATAATCACAAACAATCTAGCAACACCTCTCATACAAGAGAATGTTTCTCTCACAGGAGAGAATGTTTAACTGCACTAAGCATCCAGTAAACTCCTCAGACAATTTAAACATAGTTTAGAAGTCAATTAAACAAAACAGTCAACCAGCTTTTTTCCTAACATAATTGTGTCACTATCAGAACAAATCACTGTTTAAAACTCAGACCTTTTGGAATTTCAGCACGGTAACCTGAGAATACCTCTCTTCATATGTCACTTATGTTGTCACCGAAACCATATGACACATACACTCTGATTCCTAGTTGGTTCTGACATTAGATGCTATGCATAACAGAAAGTTCTAAAGCAATGCTTGCTTAAAAAACGAAAGAGGTTCCCAGGAAGAGTGGCTTCCAAAAAGGAAAGATTAAGATTAAGGCTGAGTGGGAACGGTTGTTCCTGAAAGACATGGAGTGTAAGAGACCTGGAATTATGAGATCTGGACATACTCTTTATGGAACAGCAGAAAAAGAATAAGAAAAACACTTTAAAAGAAAGTAAATTTTAGCTAAAGGGAAACTTACATAAATATTTCATGAATACTTTAGGGCACAGGACTTACAAACTTGTCTAAGGACAGACAGAATAACCATGTTCCATTGATGCCAACTCAATGTGGTACCTTACAAAAGACCCATCTATTGGAAAGAGTCAGACAAGCTTGAAACAGGAAGCTCCTCACCATCCGTGTTGCTGCTAGAACCAGAGACTGAGAGTCCTGTGTATGGCAGGTCAGGGCCACCGACCCGACGAAAGACTCAGAAATTTCAAAAACTGATTTAAATATGCAAGCCAAAATAAAGAGCTGAACTTACAATGTGTACACTTGTAGCACTACTTTTGAAGGCATACTTATATAACCAGGTGAAACAAATCCTTATTTGCATCATTCAAACCATTAAAGTCACTCTCTACTTGGGTCTCATTTGCATTTCTGTAGGATTATAAGCAAGTTATCCTCTAGCTCAATCAATACCTGTATAATGAACTCTTAAACTTCTTGGAGGAAGTTTTCTTGCTCTCTGGACTTTTCCATTCAAGAACCAATACGAACACCTCCTCTAGCACTTGCAATTGCTTCCTGACATACAGGCTAGTGAGCACACAGTTGGGAATACAACACACTCTCCACTGTGAAAGTTCCAACTATCTTCCCTCCAATAAAACTGGCACAAAGCCTTAAATGACACAAATACTATGCAATTAACACATGACAACATAAAGATACTTTTGCTAATTTTTCTTTGTAGGGGAGCAGGTGTTCAAGATAGGGTTTCTCTGTGTAGCCCTGACTATCTTGGAACTTGCTTCTGCAGACCAGGCTGGCCTCGAACTCAGAGATCTGCCTGTCTCTGCCTCCTAAGAGCAAGGATTAAATGTATGTGCCACCACTGCCCAGATAGAAATCACTGCCTTCTTAATATAAGAATTTGGTCAGCCTCTACAGTCTCTCTACTTTCCTCTTTAACTCAAATTACTACTCAGCATTTCTTACATGTTTTCTTAAATATAACAATTCCAAGTAGATTAGAAATCTTGCTTCCTGATGATGGTGTCATCAAACCATGACTGGCTTAGTCCATATTAGAATTTCTTCTGACATTTAGGATAAAAGGTATAATATCTATTGATGTGTTGTTATTAATTATGGCCAATGTTTAAATAATGCTTACATGTAGCACAAAACTAATAGCAAATATACCCCAAATTATAACTCTCACCTACCATCACAATTTTGGGTAGATAGTTGGAATTTTAAAAATAACAAGTTGGTTTTATTACAAACTTCAATTATACATAATAGAAAATTGTTTTATTTGAACCCTTTAAAAAAGTTTTAATTTCACCAAATCTAGAATACTGGCAGTGTAAAGCCTTAAGCTAATGTTAAAGCTGACAAATCAAAGGCACAGTGTTAACATACTTAGAACAGTGCTCACGAGACTTAGGAGGTGCTCTGTAGTGTTACTAAGCTACAGTCTTAGCCCCCTACCAGTGACATAACCGAGAACAAAGCCCTTGATTCTATAGCTCCCCAGTTTCTAAGACTAGGATGCTACTCTCCATAAGAAATCCTAATACTCTTAACTCTACCATAAAACTGAACTTTCAAACCTTAAGGAGGAATGATTGATGAAGATTAAACACTTGATTGAAAAGATACAGGAACCCAAGAGAGGAGGAAAAGTGATGGAGAGTGCAACAGAGGTCCCACTACATCACTACTCATGGATCAGAATCGGTCACTTACGCTTCACCCCCAAATAAACCTCAATGATGGGACAGGTGATAAAACGCTATTTGCACTTATAAACTGCCAGTACCCAGGAGTGGTCAGAGGAGGAACTGTTGTCTACCACAGTCTAATACCCATCTTCCTATAGTGTCTGCAAACAGTAACAAATTCTGAATCATAAATTATAGAAATTAGTCACAAGGATGCAAACCATCCCTGGAGAAAAGTAGTCCACCTAACAATGACAGATAGAAGGAAACACTTCACAAAGTTTCATTACTATGAAGATGATTTCCCCTTGGTTCAAACTGCACAAATGAAGAATTTTTCTTTACTGCAGGAAACAAACTGTAAGTAACAGTGCATTTTTAGGCATAAATAACTATTTATGTCTGGTTCCAGTATGGTCAGGTTAATACATAAATACTTTAGAAACACAGAAGTTCACATTAGTGGAAAAATCCAAGTTTCTCACGTAACCATTCTTCAGTTAGGTCTTCAGTGTTTCTTATTTCAAATACCTTAAGGAAAGAAAGAACAAACAAGTCATTCCATCACTCAAAAAAAAAAAATCAATACATAATACATTGCACTGAGTATTAAATACCACATTATGACTGGCGAGCTTGGGGGTGGGGGAAAAGGACTGTGGAACAAGTGGATGGTACTACCAGACAGAAGAACCGGTAAGGTTGAAGCAGGTTCAAAACTCCCTGGTTAATCTCATAATTGAGAATGGGCAAGTGCTGGAACCAGCTCCTGGCCAGGCTCTACCTGTCCTGGAACACATAACCTTGACACCCTATTGAGAGGACTATGACAGCCAGTCAGGTAACATAAAAACCTAGAGTTCTCGAGTTCTCCATGCTAATAAGGTATCTAGATAGGCCCCATGTGTTCAGCCAATAAACTTCTCTTCCTGACTATCCCTTCCTGCAAAAGATAATCCCTGGTTCACCCTAAGTAAGATGTATGCATTCACATCTGCCCTAAAAATAAAGCATAGTTGTAAAGAGCATTGCCTAAATCTCCTGGAGAAGGTTTTCTCTCTTTCAGCCCCTCAGTATTTTTGGCACTCACTCAGCCATTCCTTCTGCCTGGCACATAGGGGAAATGTGGGCCTCGGACCACCATGCTCAACTGAGGTTCCCAGCAGTGTCTGGGTGCACGGGAGATTGGGAACCACAGCATCTGTCCCAGCCCCTGCTGTTTCTAACCAGGGGAAACGCCGGGCAGTGGTGGTGCATGCCTTTAATCCCAGCACTTGGGAGGCAGAGGCAGGCGGATTTCTGAGTTCGAGGCCAGCCTGGTCTACAGAGTGAGTTCCAGGACAGCCAGGACCACACAGAGAAACCCTGTCTTGAAAAACAAAACAAACGAACAAAAAATTCTGACCAGGGGAGACACTGGCTGAGACCCCCTACCCTAGACTCCGTTCTGCCTTCTCTGAGCGGCATCCCAGCGGTGAAGCAGACACAAAGACCTACAGAGGACCTCTGAGTTCAAAGCCAGCCTAGTCTACAGAGCATTCCAAGATAACCAGGGATACACAGAAAAACCCTGTCTCAGAAAATAAAACGACAAACCCACATTCTGTTTCCTTCATCTTGCTCATGCCTTAATCTTGGAAATTTGATGTGCGTTTTGACAGTATTACACTTCTTTTAGGTACTAAATATTTAAGTTATCAAAATGTAGCAATCTAGATGACATAAAATCTAGGCTCTTTTAAAACCACAAATTTTAAACTAGCACATACATGCTAAAAGAGCTATTCTGTAAATCCTGCCCATTAAAAAACACAGCCAAGCACACAAATCTAAAATCAACCTAGCTAGGTCCTGGAGAAACATAAGGCCAATCTTCTACAGTCTGAGTATCAGATGTTAACACCAGCTGTTGACAAATTTGATAAAGCCACACACTACAGCCCCCGGTTACAGTTCTCCAGCCGGAGTATGAATTCATAGGCCAGAAAGCACAGGGACTAGAGAGAGACGAGGTACTACAGCAAACAGGTGGGGCCTGGAGCCAAGAGAACATGTGAACCTTAGCTCTACCTCACAGACAGCCCTGAGCACATTCTCTCCTGAACTTCTTTATTTTCACTTTATAATTTCCCTTCTCTCTCTCTCTCTCTCTCTCTCTCTCTCTCTCTCTCTCTCTCTCTGTGTGTGTGTGTGTGTGTGAACAACTTGCAGGAGTTAGGCCTCTGCTTCCACCATGTGTATCTAGGGATCACAACTTAAGCGTGTGAGGCTTGCTGGTACTGCGAAGTCTCATTACCCAGTGAGTCATCTCACAACACCCTGAACCTGTTTTCTTATTTCCAGAAATATGGCTATCAACCTCAACACGTGTACAGGACGAGATTACAGAAGTTATAAAAGTAATGTGTACATTGTAACGTAAGGTCTAGTACATTAGAGTGCAGACAGTATAAAAGACCTAATAGGCTTAGCATTTACCATGATCTTTTATTTTCCCTTTGGAGATAATCTCATTATGTGGCCCAGAGTGGCCTTGAACTCATGATCCTCTTGCCTCAACTTCTCCAGTGTTGCGTTTATGGTCACTCATCACTGTGCATGGTTACAGTGGCTTTTCTGAAGCTGCTCACATTTTGATAAGGTTTTTTTTTTTTCCTAATTAAATTGTTTAAAAAACACATTGGTTCAAAGATCACTATTGTTTTCTTTCCTACTAATAAATACAAAGCTTTACTAATGTACTGTATTAGTCTACACGGCTTCAGCTGCAGGAAGCCCTCACTTTGTACTCTGAAGGAAAGTGTCACTAAGCATCTCCCATGTAGACATACCTTGGTTAGCTCGGCGGTCTGGACTAGCTTGTTCTTACTCCCAGCGTACATCATCTGCTGCTCAGGTTTGCACCCTGGAAGACACCAGCACAGACAGGGTAACTTCCGAAGACGTTATGGAACGGGGATCCTTTCCATTACCGTTAGTTCACAACGATCTACCAGATCATCAAAAGTGGTTCTAGGTCTCTGTGATTCTGATTTTCAGAGTCTTGACAAACACTTAAAAACTTTCTTCAGTATTATTTTAACTTCAATAGTACAAGGACCATCTTCAAAATTACAGGCATATCCTGGTAACTATTTTTAAATAGATAAACACAAGCATATTACCATGGTCATACAAAGACCACATGCCTAAACAAAGACTGAAACATATACTTCTGATTCAAAAAGATGAAATGCCATTGTGTTTCAGAATCATTAAAATGTAAGATCTAACTCAACAATTACACTTCTAGGAATTAACCAGCCAAGGTAAATGCATTTCAAGAGACAACTCTTTACCTGCTCTCTGGGAGTGGGGTGGGGGTAGGGGGGAGACACTCAATTTAGGTACTCAACAATTTCATCTTTATAAACAGCAAAAATTTGTCTAGCAAAAGATGATTCAATTGGATCAAAGCCAAGTACAAATTATTAAAGAAATTAACTTACCCACAGGACTGGAGAAAATAAAGCACAGAGGGTAAGAGACTCTGCCATCATCATGCTGATATTTATAACTATATACAATGAAGGTTTTTCTCAAGTTAAAGAAACTAAAGGCACTGCTCTAAGACAGGCAGTTGTCAGCACCTGGACTAGACTGAGTGAACGCATTACTCATACAAGACCACAATTCTGATATAATTCTACAAAACAGGCCCCAAAAGCAAATTATAAAATCATGCAGCCTCTCAAGAAGAAACTTGTTAAAAGTACAGATATAATATGGACTTTTTTCTTTCTCAATTTTTACTGTATGCACATGATTAAAATAAAGACAATTTTTTTAAAAAATCCAGTCAGGACATCAACTTTCGTATTTTTTGTCTAACACATGCATACGTGTTTTAATTTGGTTGTGGTCAAGATGAGGAAGGACTACTTTTAAGGTATGTTTTTATTCTTTTATTAGCTTCTTAGTAGGCATAATGATGGAATGGGTCTCATACATATACTCAATACTTTGCTCAGCTTCGTCCTTCCACACTCCCTTCACTGTTCCCTCCCTTCTCCCAAACAGCCCCCCGAATTCTGTTTTCATGCCATATAAAATATATCTTTTGAAAATTTAACAAATGGGTCATACATAAAATCCTGATGACTAATGAAAATCTCCAAACCACTTAGAAAGGATATCGAGGCTGCCGCTCAGGTAGCTCCTCTTTAAGTTCATCTGGAGAGACACCCTGGCACCACAGAGAAGAAAGAACTGTGAAGCATGTCCTTCCCCCAGGTCCACTGCACACCCACTCTGCTAAGAGCTATGAGTTCATTATCACGTTTTACTTCTATTTTCAATGACACATGGATATGAAGGATAGCGTCCCTTCCACGCTTATGTTCCAAGTGTCAAGAGATATGGAGCGGCTGAGTGACACAGCAACACCTGGGAGAGCATTACTAATCCTACTCCAGTTCTGCTCAGGTGGCTGGCTTGTCTTACTCCACTCTGTGTACTGCTCGCAAGTATGGAGCTGACTCAGCCTCACTAGAGCTCTAACCCCGACTTGCCACACTGGATCTCATTAATGCTTTAAGGAAGGCAGTTAACTCAGCAAGACAATGTGGAACCAATAATTAGCTCATGCTTTTCATGCATAATTAGTATGCATTTAAGAAGGTCCAGAACTTGTTTTAGCACTTGTAACTAACATAGCATTGTTTGGACAACAATAATTGCTTAACTGTAAAAATTGTATTTAGCTCATTGAACAAACCTCAAGTTCTTCATCCAGCACCACCAGGCGTTTATCCTTGTCAATCTTCACTACAATGAAAATACAGTATAAGTAAAGTGTGATTCTATGTGACCTTGATGACCCAATCCAATGCAGCCCTAGTCTATGTGGAGGGAAGGAAACACCTCAAACTAAAGCATCAAGAAACAGCATAAAGCACATTCAAGTATTCACCTTTAGACCTTTGGATATACTTCCCAATATGTAACTTGCCTACTTATTGTTCAGACGCATATCAGCTCCTTGAACTACAAGTATGGAGAACTTCCTAACCCAAATGCAACTTTCGAAGTAAAAAGAGGCTTGGAAGGATAACTCTGAGATTGGTCTATGTGCAACACGCTTAGAACTGCAAAAGAAATGCTCACCAGGGGTCAGGAGAGAGAATCCCAAGACCCCCAGCATCTCCATCATCACAGTTTCATGGGATAGAGTCATTACTATGAGAAAGTGAATTACCAATTCCACCTCAATTCAAAGATATTCAAATATAAGTGACATAACCCAAACCAAAATCTACATGAAAATAAAGGTCGCCTATGCCTTCATTCTTTTCTACCTGTCTAACGATTCAACTATGTTTGGGTTTGCACTAAATCTACATTAAATCCTATAGACACACAACGTGACTTCAAAAGGCCTCATCTTTGGTGGTAAGTGCCACTATTCCACATTTTCCCTATTAAGAATTAAATGATCACATGACAGCGTTTAGTTGTAACAGACACAGACTTCATAAGGCACCACCACCTGGTTTAATTCACACCTGCCTGATGCATCTCTGTTAAGCAGCCTATAGTCTTTATGTCTTCACTGCCTCGGCCTTCTTTCCAAATCATTGCCCCCAAAGTATTTCCTACAAAACCAAGTAAAGCTCTCCACAAAACTAAGTTTAGTGTAGAATTGGAATAAGGCCCAATGCTAATTTACCATTTAGGTATGGGCAAATGTTTGGTCTGGACTACTGTTAGCCCCCTGGGAAAGACAAAGATTCAAGGTCACTACAAATGGGAACCCTCACTCCTCAAGTGACTAAGACAATTGGTTTCTCCAGAGCTGAGGAGGCAGTTGACCCAGGGTTATATCTATGGCAACAGTATGAGCAGTTTCTTAACCTGCAGAGGTAATGGTGGCAAATGCAGCAGGCAGAGGCACCATTACTCTCTAACGGCTTGGCACATTCAAAGGAGCTTTAAGAGAAAACAAACTGGCACCATATAGTTTTGAGGCAACTTCAGCTTACTTATAATAGCAGCATTGTGGGTTTCTTTTCGAAAACGAAACTTTCTCAGCTTTTCCACTAAATCTTCAGCAACATCACAAACCACCAAAGACTCACTCTACAAAAGAGAGGGGAATACAAACACTTAAAATGCCATACATTCAATATTTGCGCATATTAAACACTTTCCGATCTCCCAGCCTTGGATCCGTAGAGTTTAGTCATAGCTCTCTGTTCATCTCTAATACAAGCTTCACTTTAACTTTCTCTTTGGCTGAGAAGTACTTCACAAACCAAGCACATCTTTTTTTTTTTATTTATTTTTTTTTGAGTTTCATTTCTTTTTTTTTAATTTATTTTTATTTATTTTTTAAAATCAAATCATAATTTTTACTTATTCACAGAGGGGTTATAAACACAAAAAGGCAGGACATGGGAAAGGGGATGACACCAGATCATGGGTGTTCAGGGAGAGTACAGATACCTTTCAGAACAGGGTATCGGCTGGGTGAAGGTTCAGGGGACAGGTGACTATGACTCTGCCTATGATTCACTTGTCCTTATCTAAGTTGGTATTATCCACCAAGGCTACCTATTTACAAGGTCTATGACTACTCAGGCTGGTAAATTTCCACAAAAGCTGCCTGTTGACATTAGCTTATAGCCATCTGTTTCAATGTTTTTCCACAGAGACCCAAGACTTGGTGTTAGTATACCTGTATGACAGGCCTATTGCTGATTTTAGGCCTTCAGTGTATAAGCAGGGCTGCCCCTGGCATATCCTCCCTTCTCTAATTATAGAAGGGCTGTGACGATTCTAATCTTTCGAAGGCAGGAATAGAGGCCTGACCTCCAGTAATTGAAGGGGACTTTGTAATGGCTCTGGTCCCCCTGTTGTTGTCCAGTGAGGCATGAGGGCCATACCCATCCTGATGTCTTTTTCCTGGAGAGGGGATACTTTTGACATCAACCCCTATGCAGTCAGGCTTGTCCCTCAGGGAACCCAGAGAGATATTTTTAACTAATATTTATATTCCCTTGCAGTGCTTAGCCTCGCAGCCTAAGCAAGAATTCAGATTGCCAGTCAGAGGGGGTTCTGGGTGGCCCCTCTCTGCTTGGTCAAGGGGTGGAAGTCCCCTCTTTTAGGTTGGGTGGAGATAGGTTTTGGGAACACCCTGGATAGAGTAACAACCTCATCTTGAGTCTTGTGGTCCTCCATAGCTAACTTATGATAATGTATCTGAATAGGTTTTGCTACCAAATTATTTATCTGTTGTTTCACAAAGTTAGTCAGCCTATTTAAGGCCCAGGGACCAAAAGGGATAAGCAAAAATAACTCATGGTTGTCAACTCTACTTCCTCCCATCTTGGGACCATAACCAAGCACATCTTAACAAGCATTTATTTCATTAAAAGTGGAGAGGAAGCTAGGAAATACAGAAGACAAGGGCCATCTTTGTGTCAGATGAGCAAGCACAGTATTTCGCAGTGTGTGGCAAGAAAGGGAAAGTCATTTTACTGTTTTGGAGTTTCACAATTATGGAGAAAATAAAAATGACCATAACAGTAAAAATGAGTAACAATTTATATCTTAATTGACTACAAAAGACATAAAAATGGCTATTAAGAATATATAAAAATAGTCAGGCATGGTAATATTTAATCCCAGGGAGGCAGGGGCAGGAGGATCTCTGGGAGTTTGAGGCCAGCCTGGTCTACAGAGTGAGTTCCAGAACAGACAGGGTTATATAGAGAGACCCTACTCAAAAAAAAAAACAAAAATACAAAAAAACAAACCATCAAGGATACACAAAAGGCAAGCAATACTCTGGTTACAGTTCAGCCTACTGCCTCTCATAGTATACTCAATAAATATGTTTCCTTGAAAACGAAAAAGCAAATAAAGATTTACAAAAGCAAAAGCAGATGAACTAAATATAAAGGCCAGATCCTTGTGTTTGTGCAGTAGTATCTTTATATACTTACCTATCGCCCCAGCCCTCAACTGTCTGGTTTCTGACAGAGGATTTTTATTATTACCCAAGCTGGCTCAAATTTGTGATCTTCTTTACTTTAGCCTCCCCAGTAGCCTAAATTGAATGTGTGTACCATAATGCCATGCTATATTTTTAGTAGATAAGCCTTCGAAATCAAGCCGGCATGAAGGTGCACACCTTTAATCATGGCTTTAGAGAGGAAGAGGCAGAAAGATCTCTGAGTTTGAGGTCAACTGGGTCTATAGATATTGTCTCCAAAAAAGAAAAAAATAAAAAAAAACCAGCAACCTTCCAAAACATCCCAATATGTAGAACAGAACAGTGAGTCCTGTATGTCAGTCACTCAGCTCCTGCCATCTGCATTTTATTACCCACAGTACATCAACAATACCCCAATGAACTATCTCACCCTTACCCAAAGGCTACAAAAGTCACTCACCTAGAAATACTGCACTATGTAAGACAGCATGTGTCACAAGAAACATAAACATAATGAAACTATTCTATTTCAAAAACTCTACCAGAATTCTAGTCTCTAATACCTAATTCGTGTTCAGATCCCCTCACTGTTCTACACATTTTACAGTTGGTTTTGCCAAGTTGCAAAAAATTCACCTTGGATTTTTCATATACAAGTTTCCTGTCTCCTTCAAGAAAATCTGGACTCTTCTCATCAGAGCCTCAAAGTATTAAGGCTTCCAATATTAAGTTAAAAAATAAAAAGATGCGATGGAAGCCTAGGTGCTCAACTCCTGTCGGATTAAAGACGGCATACACTAGCTAGCATTTTCCCTGTCCTGAGGATTCTGAACCCTGCTCATCAGTAAGATGTGACAAGTACAGAATGTGTGATTATACAATCAAGGCATTCGCCCCAGCCGATAGAAAACTTCAGAGAGATGCTAAATCATAGGAAACTGCCTAAAACACAGAGTAATCTTCATTGACCAAAGATAGAAGGAAATTAACAAATACTTAAGATTTTTATTTAAGACAAAACCTCTCTGATAACTGAGTCTTACCTTTTAGCTCTGATAATCAGAGCTCCAATTGAGTAAGTCTGACATTCTAGGGCCAGAAACCCTCGGCCCTATGCTCAGTGTAGAGCTCTGTTTGGAAGACACGAGCCTAATGTGACCCCTAGCATTGTGGGAAAGATGAGAACATGCTATGATTTCATGTGTATGATTCAGTTTGTGTCTCCTTCCTTCCCAATGCTACAAGAATGGCAAAATACCTTCCTACAAGGACTCAGAAACCAGGAGTGGTGGCACATGTCTGTAATTTCAGCATTTAGAGGCTGAGGCAGGCGGATCAATTGTCTCTTCTAAAAAGTCAGGGCCAGAGGGTGGTAGGGGAGAAGAGAATGAACTCAGGCTTGGCTAATTCACATTTATTTACACTTGAAAGCATTTAAGAATGAGTACAAAAGCTATAAAAACAATTCTAGGTGACAAATGCTAAAGATGGTTGAGCTTAAACGTTCACTTACTATATATTCAATAAATGAACAGTTAATGAGCACCAACACTGTGCTAAGTGCTAGCTTACAATATCATCTAATATAGAAGAGACCTACATAAAAGACTAGACAAAAATCTGTAAGTTGACACCTGTGATAACGGCTAGAAAAGAGAGCCACAGGATGCTCTGAGGACTTAGAAGTGAAGAACATGGTGACAGCAAAAGCTATCGAAAGTGATTACAGCAAACATAGCAGCCAAAGTCATGAAACAACATACTCACAACAAGAGCAAGATCCAAGAGCAGGGAGGAGCCTAGCTAGGTGCTCCGATTTCTATCCCATGGGCAAATATAAGCTATCAACATGCTTTAAGTACTGTAGGGAAGGCACACATGACCATATCTGAATTTTGATAAGATCATATTTCTCGTGATATACAGTAAGCAGGCATAGAGCCAGGAAGAGCACAGCAGCCCTAGTTACCAGCAAGACTGTCTCAGAGATGACAAGTGGCAGAGAGGTTAAAGACCAGCATAAAAGAAGTGAGTAGCATCAGTGAGTTACCATGTATATAGCACAAGGCTGACTCCTGCTTCATGCTCCAAACCATCACACCTACACCAACACCATCCTCACCATCATCACACCTACACCAACACCATCCTCACCATCACACCTACACCAACACCATCCTCACCATCACACCTACACCAACACCATCCTCACCATCATCACACCAACACCATCCACACCATCATCACACCAACACCATCCTCACACCTACACCAACACCATCCTCACCATCATCACACCAACACC